ATTTTAAGGTTTCAAAAACCAACATGCTTCTTTTTCAGTACTTAAAGGTATTGAACTTATACTGTTTGATATTTATTTTTTGTGTTAGTAATGTTGCCTTCCCTAGTTTGGCAAGTATCTTGGGGAATAGAACCCATTGTGTTCTCATATATCCTACTTAAAGTCTGTAAAGCAGTCTGGGTACATTGTGACACTCATAACTATTTGTTAAGTAACATTCCTTCTTCCTACTTCCAAAAGTAATGAGAATATAGCAACAAGAGTCAGACATAAGTGACAACAAGCACTTCATGAAGTGCTTAAAAGGCTTTGTGAAGATAGACATAGAATTTGAATGTTTAGACTTTGCCTAAAAAGAGGGAATGTCAAGCTATGAGAGAACATATGGAGAAAGGCTAAAATGTGAGATTTAAGATGGAATTTGTGAGGATAAGAAAAGACTGGAGTTGCAGGAATTGTGGTTAGTTGGAATAGGTGGAGTTAATGAGGAAGGATCATAGAAGACAGGCAGAAGAGTTGATATTTTAGGTTGTAAGAATTTTTGTAAGTTCTGAAGCAGGAATATGGCGTAATAACTATTATGAATTGTCTATTTTAGAATAAAGTTACCTCAATGACCTTCTTAACTGGCAAAGCAGTAGAAGATTTATGCAGAATAAAGCAGGTAATTGAAATGTTGTCATTAAATGTTTTCTTCTCAGCCTCTACTCTTGAGTTCCCATTTTGGCACACCACCAAAGTATTATAGGAAATCATCTATTTATAAAACAATAAATTGACAAATGGTCTGTATGTAGGAACAGTAACAACCATCTCTGTGCTGGTCGTCTCACTCGTTATTGCCCTAAATGTTCTGCAGTCATGAGCAATTGTACTGTCTTCCTCCACCCCCTACTCCTCTACAAAGACTCAGAGTGCCTTAGAATCTATCACAGATCCTATTCGCACTCAACACATTAATTCACCTGTGCTTTGGGTTAAAATAAGTTGTTCTCTAGCCTGAAAAATCTCTCACGTGTAACACTACGATTGTATCCAGGTTGCAAGTCAGTTTTCAAACTAACTCTAGAAGCAAGTTTTATCTGGGCATGTGTCTGAGATGGTGTACATGCTCCCTTACTCGTGTTAGTGGAGCTTTGTTAAAGCTGTGCCTGTGTGGCTGCTTTATCTCACAGAAGTTGACTAGTCACTTGGGGGGTTTTTGTTTATTTTTCAAATCATATTGAAAGAATGAGTTAAAAATTTAGATCAAACAAATAACAAATTTTGTTTAAATTGTTAAAGAATTTGAGGAAATAATCCTATTCAATGGGATAGTATTTATTTATGCTTAATACCTCCTTTAGACATTATCTTCATGGATCCTGAGCTATATGTTCAGAAAAAAGAAAACTGCCATCTATTAAAGTAATATCAACTCAAATGTCTATATAAATTGTTTAGAAGTCCCCAGATCATTTCTTGGTTATCAAATGCGATAAGAACAATTTTCATTTTATGTTATTCATTTATCTCATTCTGTTGCTCAGGCTGGAGTGCAGTGGCCTAATCATAGCTCACTATAACTTCGAATTCCTGGGCTCAAGTGATCCTCTTGCCTCAGCCTACAATATTCATTTTATCGAGGAAATAGTGTCAGAAACCATTTCACAGTGTAATTGACATTTAATCCTTGAAAAAAGTTATATTCTTAGTGAAATTCAGTGAAATAAGGAATCACAAGGGTAAAGTTACATATTATATAATTTTTCTGCAAAAGCGAAATATATTAGTAATTGCACATTGAAAATACATTATCTTTAAATGGTGCTTTTTATGTGACGATGCACAAAACAGAACTTCATTGCTGATCTTGTGGTGTTTCTGCTTATAGTCAGTTTAGGTAAAATATGGTCGTATAAATTGTTTGTAATGGTTTCACGCATATAACTTGTGCTGCATGTCAGGCCTGGATTTTTATTCTCACCTCCATCACCTTACTGAGAATTCCTCAACCTGAATTAACCTCAGTGTCTCTGTCCGTACCAAAGCTGCTATAAATAGTGCTTCTTATCCTCACAGGGTTGAAATAAGATAATCATTGTGAAGTAACCCAATAACCTTTACTCTCTGTACAATTGTTTGTTATTTGACTTTGCTGTCACTAATGCTAAGTCTAGGATGGCAATAAAAGTGGTTCAGCTGTGTCAGCTTTCTGTCCCTTTTCTACTCACGCAGGTTGATCTGGATTCTAGGCACATTGGTTGGGTAACAAGTGAACTTCCAGGAGGGGATAATCACATCATCAAAATTGAATTAAAGGGCCCAGAAAATACACTAAGAGTTCGACAAGTCAAAGTCCTGGGCTGGAAAGATGGTGAAAGCACAAAAATCGCTGGCCAGATTTCAGCCAGCGTGGCCCAGCAAAGGAACTGTGAAGCTGAGACTCTACGAGTATTCAGACTTATTACGTCTCAAGTGAGTGTCCCTACTGCATATTCTATTACAGGATTCATTGACATATTTTGAAAGTAAACAAAATATTTTATAAAACTTGTTAGAGATTTCTGGGTACAAGTGTAGCCCATTTTTACTTCTCACAGCTCTAAACAACTGTGTTTCACATTGCATTCATAACTCAGAAGAGTAGTGGTGTATAACAGCAAGAATAACGTAACACCTGCAGAATCCACTAACAAGTCCTCTAGCTTTCACAGTGGTAATTCCTTCTCATGTGCATGTCTTTTTTTATCAGGTATTTGGAAAGCTCATCTCTGGAGATGCTGAACCTACACCAGAACAAGAGGAAAAAGCACTTTTGTCATCACCTGAAGGAGAGGAAAAAGTATACAATGTATTTATTTGTATTCTAAAAATATTTATTTCCCTTTTTCATTCTCTTATTAACTGAATGATCTTTATATTGCTATATATTTTAATGGATATGTGTTAATAGTTTATTTGTAGTTCATTTTTTTAATTAGAAAGATGAAACTATAAGAAATTCATATTTGTTCATTTATAATCTAATATTTGAAGTAACAGCAAAATTTGCTATATACCTCAGGCCGTCGTGTTCAGTTGTTAGAATTTCTATGATTAACTTAGTCATTTCCTGTACTGCACCCCATCAATTATCTTCTACCTCCTCCATTTTATCTGTCCTTCAGTCTAGTTCATAAATACTATCTTCATGAACCATCTTTATGATTTCTCCAAACAAAATGCAGCTTCCCTCTGCTAAACTTCCTAGTTAATAACCTATATGTGTCTCTTCTTGGCTTCTCTCTTACGTTTATCTACATACATGTTTTATCTCTTCTACTGAACCATACTTCTTTTTTTTTTTTTTTTTGAGACAGAGTCTCACTCTGTTGCCCAGGCAAGAGTGCTGAACCATTCTTCTTAAAGACCAAGTACATGTCTGATTTGTCTTTGTATCCACCA